GAGGAGCAAATCTGCGCGTGTGGGTTGGCACTCTGGGTAGCTGGTGGCAGCAATGTGAACCAGTAAAGAGCCCCCACCCCTCATCCTCCTTGTCAGGACAGGGAGAGGTCAGTGATCGGCGTGCCCGAAGAGGGGAGGAGCTCAAAGCGGGTTTAGGGAATTGGGGAGGGGGGGGACAAATGTGATCCAGATGTAGAAACCTGACACTTCGGAGGGCGGCAAACGGGGAGAAACCCACAAGGAGAATGAAAGAGACTGTAGATGAATGTGGGGGAGAAGAGGCCTGGCTCTGTGCGCGTTATAATTGTGCTGAAGAGGGGGTTGCGTTTGAACAGCAGCACGAATTGTACTGTTCAGTGCAGCGGGTTTTTCATGCGGTGGGGCCACACCCTGCCCCCGGGCGCCTTTTGGAAAAGCATGTTACGGCAGTCCTGCTTTTTCTGCACTGCGAGATTGCAGCAGACGCCGTTTGACGTGCTGTTCGCTCTAGACTTGTGAAATTCTGGGACAGGTTCCCCCCCACCCCCTCCTTTTTGTGTGTTTGTTTACTTTTCTAGCAAGAGTTTCCAGTTCCGTTTTAGATATGGCTGGCTGCCTGCCTCAGATGCTGAGAGATCGCGCTCCTCCCATGCCAGTCAAACCAGCTGCCAACCTGTGAAGGGGCCTGGTGCCCGCTGGAGGTGCCTGTTGCTGGTGGCTGCCAACATGAGGCTGTCCCTGTGTCCTCCCTCCCCAGCAGAACACAAAGCACATTGCTCATTATAATTGTCTGTATGGGAGTTTCAGGTCACAGCTGGCTGATGAAAAGGCTCAAATGGCAGTACCCAGAATGCACAGGCAATAAGAGCATTTGTGCTCTAGAGAGCCCCACACTCTATTGCTTTTGGAATTAGTTGGGCAATAACTCACTTTGAGTGAAGTTTTTCCTTTTCTAAATTGGGTAGGTTTGTCCTTTTGTATGAGAAAGGCTGGTAAGCCTAATAACAAGCACATTGCCCATGCCCTGCAGGGGCTGAAATGGAAAAATCCCAGATTAACCAAATTAGGGTGAAGGTCTTCCGAGCAGCCTGCTATGGCTTTCTGTTAACAGTCAGGTTAGAAAGAACAGAGTCATTGACTGTTTTTCGGCCAAAGATGTGGTCCTCAGAGTAGTATTAAATATGTGAAGTTTAGCACCCTATTATTTTAATTCCCCTGAATGGGGAATACATATGGTTATGGGACTGGTGTACTGTAGACATCATTGATGCAATAACTCAAAAAGTATTTGATGGATCTTTTTCAAACTTTGCAGACGCATTATCTGGATGACCACCTGGAATTTTTTTACATATTGAGACACATCGCCCCAAAACTGAAGTAGCACCGCGTAATGAAATTAGTTTCGGACACTTGATTCCATTAGTGTGTAGGGTGTTTTCCAAACTTAGCAGATGCATTGTATGGGTGAAGGTTTGGATCTGTTAAAATTTTTAGACAAATTGCACCAAAATTGAAGCAGCGCTGCTTAGTGATAGCAAAGGGAAGGGTAACTGCAGAAAATACTTGACCTTGTGAACAGGATAACTCTATTTGTTCTTTTTGCTCTGTTTAATCTTTAATGGACTTTAATACGCTTTCATAAAAACATTATATGTATGAAAATCTACACCTGATTAACTGGAGACAAATTGCCAAAAGGGTCTGACTGCAGACTTCACCTGTGAGGAAAATCTCCTTTGAAGGTAAGGAAATGGTGTAAATGAGCACAGAAGAGGAGATGTACGTTAAAATGGGTTTATGTTTAAGGCTTGTGTTAGTGCAGCTTTTATGAATATAGTGTTAAACTAAAGAAAACACTAAGGAGGACATCTGCAAATTTGGAGACTCAAATTACTCTGCAGTCAATTTAATGTTATAAGATAGAAAATGCTTTTATTCAACATCATAGGCAGTGGTAAGTCTTTAGTCTTGGTGAAAAAATTTACATCAGAATGCAAAGTCCACAATTCCATGTATGACATACACATAATTTCCTTACCCTCAGATGAGGTTTACTCACAGGTGAGGTCGGCAGTCAGACCTAAACCGCCAGCACACTGAAGCAGCGCTGCTTGGTGGCAGCAGAGGGCAGAAAGGGAGGCTGCTCTTGTGAATACAGTAGTTTGTGAATGTCTTTCAGACTTCCCAGGAACACTGTACTGGTTAGTGGTTTTCAAACTGTGGGGTGTAATATTATGTTTTGAATATTCTAAATTTCTTAGCAAATTTTGTCAGTAGCAGTCCAGCAGCTGGTCCAGTCCAGTAGCAAAATTTATTTTGGGCTTTTAATAGCAATTTTTTGGAGAGGTGGGAAGAGTAGGGTAGGTATGAGTACTACTAGTGGTATTATATTATTACTATTATACTATTATTATACTTCAGTATTTTCGTTCACTGAACCTTGGGGGAATTTAATTGTGCAATTTAGCCCTAGTTTTAGTCGGCACATGAAAAAACCGGTGCAGATCTGGAGAGTGAAATGATGGTTTGAAAAATTAGATGCCGCCCAAGCCTAGTGTAGGGTGGCTAGGGTTAGGGTTAGGGAGGCGTGGGAAGAGTAGCAATACAACAGCGAAGAGGTGGGTACAGGGCACTCCAGGAAATGAGTCATTGTCATTTTTTGTCAGCTTCTTTGACATTTGTATGCATGTAACTAGTCTAACATACTAAATATATCTATTTAATAATATATAAATTTATTATTTATTATTAAATCTAGTATAATAAAGTTTATTTCCAACATTAAAATACTAATATAACAACTTTGTCATAGTGTGCTCGATTTTAGTTTTCTGTCATGATTCTTACTGTTGTGTCGTGGGAAATATTGGTCAGAGTGCAAATGAAAGAGTAACAGAGACAGAGAATTAAAGTTAGTGATTTTGCAAATTGGCATGTAAGTGGAAGGTACCATAAATAAATAGGTGTGCTTGCATGTCAGGAGTAGAACCCGTAGCATTCGGGCAAAAACACATTGCTTTGGGTTTCACATTTTCGTTTGATCCTTCTAGTAATTCTGGAAATTGTAGAGGGTGGGGGTGTGGGAGGAGTAGGGTTTTCATGGGGGGAGCGGGGAGACGGGACTGTACATTGTTTTCATTCCGACAGCATCTTTTCTAGTTGGTAAATCTCCATGTCACCATAGTTTATAAATTAGTTCTTCTAAAATAGTGTTAATTTTTAAGCTATATTTCGATTGCAAGGCCACCAGCTATGGGTCACTGTAAAACAGCTATAACAGTTATGTTCAACGATTTTGGCATCTTTAACAGGGTGGCAGGGCCTGGGTTCCGGGTGGAAACCTTCTTGAATGGGTTTGGACCAGTCCTGAAAGTTTCCAGATATTGCCTCTTGCTCACACCGTTATACAAAGTCTACTTTCTTCCATTCAAGATAAAACGAAATGCTCAGACAAACCGTGAGTCACTTTTGACTGGTGCAGGTACTTGATACTTGATTTTTGGTTATATAATTCTTATTATGTATCATGCCTTTAAATGTCAGAAGCCAACCTCATTCACCCGTAACGCCTCCTTTTTCTCTATTAAGCATCATATGTGGAAGTTTATCTCATTGACCTCCAGATGCACTCTGTTTTCATTCTCATCTGCACTGCACTGGACACCTTGTTCTAAGTTCATAGTACATGATTTTAGCCCTGATTTTACTACCGCCGGCAGTTCATGGAGATCGACAAAACATGCAGTTTGTAAACCACAATGATTTCAAGAGTCCCGACTACAAGACAAGTCACGTAGCGTGAACAGTACAGCAGCCTGACAACATTAACAGTTGTGTGTAGCATTAGTAAATGGGCATTCTGGTAGGTTTTTCAAGGTTTCACTCTTAGGTTTGCCAAACCAAAATGTGCTTTGATTTGCCAGGCATGCATCCCCCCCCAACTAGTACATTGGGGGTGTTCAGTCTGGTGTGGCGATGGCGCAGGATATGTTGCGTTCTGCTCGTGACGAGGAACCATGGTCAGTGACAAAGGCCCTGGGGACGGTAGCGCATGGAGAGAGGAGGGGGCACCGAATGTGAAACATGCAGCCTGCTTCGTGATGTCTGCTCTGCCCTCGGGCGGAGTGCAGGCCAAGCACACGTGCAGCGTAGGCGCGGCAGGAAGTGTGAGCGCTCTCGCTCGCCATTCAGCAGCAAGCCCCCTGTGGGTAACCCAAGCCCCCCCACGGGAGCTGCGAAATGCAGGCTGCGGGCGGGCCGGCCGGCGTCGGCACCTCTGCACAGCACCCTGCGCAGACGCGCGCTGCTCTGGGACCGCGGGACGCAGCCTGTGGGCAGGATCTGGGCGTAGCGCTTGTGTTTGTCATAGTATTGTCTGACCCGAGTGAGAGTGGTGAAAGGCAGACGTCTGGCCACACAGGCAGCGCCGCGTGCTAATACACCCGACAGTCACCGATGACAGGCGCTCTCTCTCTCTCTCTCTCTCTCTCTCGTTCTCTTTCTCTTTCTCTCCCTCTGTCCTTCAGCAATGATGTGATGTGGGTCTTGTAATGCAGCTACATAAATCACATTGTCTCTTGCCTTCAGCAAGCCAGGGGGTTTTGTGACCTTGTGTGGTCTTGCCACATCCTGTACAGCTCTATACACATGCACACATTGTTTATCCTTGTTATCCTTGTTTATGCTTCTGTGTACATATATGTGTGTGTATGTGAGCAAGTGGGTTCATGTATTTGGCCTGTATTTGACTCCATGCCACTCTTCTCATGAACTTTCCTCTCGTTTTTCACAACTCGCTTCAGGATTCTCAAATAAAACGAGTATGACTAATCTCTCACTCCCTCCTCAAAAGGGCGTAATTGTAATACGCTGACACTGTTTCCGACATTGCGCAACAAACCTGTCCAGCTGTTCTTGTTGTACTACTGAGGTGTTATGAAGTAATGTGACATGGAGTCTGATTCTGCGCTGACTCGCTGTTCCTGCATACGGTGAAACCCTGCTGCTGTTTTGTGCAGATGTACGTCAGGCTTCATTGGGGAGTACTGTCATCAGAAGGACCCCTGTCACCCTGGTTACTGCCTCAATGGGGGCAGCTGCATTGCCAACTTGTCCGGGGTGCCTGCCAGCCCCTCCTGCACCTGCCCCCTGGGCTTTACTGGTCAAACTTGCCAGACTCCCCAGAACTCTGCCTGCTACCCCAAGAACCCCTGTGCCAACAGTGGTGTGTGCGCCCTGCTCTCCCTGGACAAGCATGAATGTCGCTGTGCTCCTGGATGGACAGGTCAGCCGCTCCCAACAGCCTCTCCGGGCTCCAACAGCCTCACATTCGCTTGCAGCTTTCGGACCACATGCTTCTTCTGACTCTGTCTTTAAAATATGTCACTGTGTCCGTCTCTCCCAGGCCCCCGATGCACCCGCGAGGACAGCTGTGTCTCCAGCCCCTGTGCCAATGGGGGCGTCTGTAGCCCCGGGAATGGGGGCAAGTACACTTGCAATTGCCCCAAGGGGTATCAAGGTCGTCGCTGTCTGAACGACACCAATGAGTGTGCTCTGACCCCGGGCCTATGCTCCAACCGCGGGGAGTGCATGAACACGCCGGGCTCATACCACTGCACGTGCCCCGTGGGTTACACTGGCCGCCATTGCGAGACACCATATGTGCCCTGCTCACCGTCGCCTTGTGTCAACGGGGGCACCTGCCGGCAGACGTCGGACACCAGCTACTGGTGCCACTGCCTGCCAGGTTAGTGTCGGACCCGTGTCGAACCCCCCACTGCACCAGGCAGGAAGCTGAAATGTGACCCTGCCTGTATCACTCTGTTGATTTTAAATGTTGTGTCTTATGACGCTCGATCGTGTTTCCAAAGCAGGAGCAGGGGAAATAAGTCTGTGTTTATAGTAAACGGCCGTCTGTGAGCGTGTTTAGGTTCTCACTCTCATGTGGCTCTCCCTACTTAGGCTTCAACGGGACCAACTGCGAGATTAACATCGACGACTGTCCTGAGCACCGCTGCCAGAACGGGGGCACCTGCATGGACGGCGTCAACACTTACAACTGCCAGTGTCCACCCGAATGGACAGGTGAGTGTGCCACGGGCCTCGCGGCACGGGCCTCGCACCCGGGTCCGACGCCGATGCCAATGCCCTCCTGCTCACCGCCCCCTGCAGGCCAGTTCTGCACCGAGGACGTGGACGAGTGCCGGCTGCAGCCCAACGCCTGCCAGAATGGTGGCACGTGCAGCAACGTGCAGGGGGGCTACAGCTGCGTGTGCGTGAACGGCTGGAGCGGCCTCGACTGCGCCGAGAACATCGACGACTGTGCCACAGCCGCCTGCACCAACGGCTCCACCTGCATCGACCGTGTCGCTTCCTTCATATGCATCTGCCCCTACGGGAAGACAGGTGAGTGGATGCGGGGTTTGCCCTCAGACTGGGCTGAACATGGCCGCAGCATCGCATGTAGCATGACTCGGGCTGCCTGCTGCTGCAGTGTGTTATTGCAACGGAGCGACTATCTCATGGCTTCTGACCCCCGGTGACCCCTGTATGACCTTGTGACAGGCTTGCTCTGCCACGTGGACGACGCCTGCATCAGTAACCCGTGCCGAGAGGGGGCGCAGTGCGACACCAACCCAATCAACGGCAAATTCAACTGCAACTGCCCTCCTGGTTACGTGGGCAGCACCTGCAGAGACGACGTCAACGAGTGCATCATGGGTAAGAGCCAGCCTGCGCTAGACATGCCCCAAAGTACTCTGGGTAGCAGCGCGCCACAAGAAGGTTGCAAACAGCAGGGGCGGGACTGCTGGCCCTCGCAGGAAATGCAAGAGCATAATGGCTTCATTACTGCACTTTATTTTGTTACTGTTTCGTGGTTGAGACTATTGCAGTGTTTTTCACTTGCCAAGATACATTTTGTAATACTGAAGTTACATTCTCAAAACTTCACACGGTCTTGGGCAAACAGTTAATCTCGCCTCCAAAATGCATTACAGCCACCAAAACAGTAGCACTTAATATCCTTCTAGAAGAACACTGTATCACACACAAAAGAATGCCTTACAGAACACTAACAACCGATAGCGTTACATATAACATAATATGGATCATCAGTAAAGGATCATCTGTAAAGTAATTCTGATTTAGTTTTTTTAACGAAAGCTGTATTACAAACCAGAACACTTCTTCACTCTATAAAATGTCCAGGAATGAGCAAACCATGTTGCAGTATATTTCAATGGCCTTTATTTCTTACTGTGGTGTAATTACAAAATATTTATTAGCAATTAAAAAAAAAAACACAAAAAAGTAATATTTCAGGAAATACTACATAAACAAAATACACTGCATATATAATGTATGCTGTTGAGTGACGTTGATAGTAATGTAGCAAATTGAAGTCATTCAGTTTTGAATGTATTTTTAACAGTTTTAATAACAGTATGTAAGCATGTGAAAAATGGCCCGAGAAAAAGCTTTGATGGTGGTGGATTCTGAGTGAGAACGGAATCCCTGAATTTAGTCACTGAATACATTTCTTATGAAAGCAATGAGAAATTATTCAGTTTAGCCCACAAACTGTTGTTATGGCAAGTTTGTGAAGAGTTCTGAGAAAGTGACCTCAGTATTGCAGAATCTTTCTTAGCAGTTGGGGGAAAAAAACACTGTAAGTGATGATATTGATCTCCTGTGCCCACACTGATAAATATAGCTAACTCCAGTTTTCCGCTGATTAGCATAGCGGCTAAGTGCTCCATGGCTTAACCCTTCTCCGCACCTTCATCGTCTTCTTGATGCTGTTCCGTTCTTGCCCCGTATCACTTGCTCCTGCCCCCTCCTCGCTCCTTCCTTGGCGTTCACCTTCAGCTCTGCTCCTCCCCTCAGGCTCGAACCCCTGTGAGCATGGCGGGCAGTGCGCCAACACTGAGGGCTCCTTCATGTGTAACTGCGCGCCGGGTTACACGGGGCCGCGCTGCGAGCAGGACATCAACGAGTGTGCCTCCAGTCCCTGCCGCAACGACGCCACCTGCCTGGACCAAATCGGCGACTACACTTGCATCTGCATGCCAGGTAGCCTTTTGGCGCCGTGTGTTCTCTGTCTGCCGCCTCCCACCCCGTCCGCCGGCTGACCACCTCTTTCCGACCCGTCTTCTGTGCCCAGGGTTCGAAGGAGTGCACTGCGAGACTGACATCAATGAGTGTGCCAGCTTCCCTTGCCTGAACAACGGCATTTGCCTGGACCAAGTCAACCGCTTCGTCTGCCACTGCCCTGCAGGTCTGCCTGCTTCCACGTGTCTCTGGTGCTCTTAGGAGCCTCGAATCCCTTAAAATGTGGCACTGACTTTATCTGCTTGCAGCCTGAGTAAACAGGCACACTTTATTAGTAAATGATGTATGTACGTGCCATGTTATCTCACTGCTGTCAGAGTAATCTGTCTTCTTATCTCCGGACGGCTCCGGTTAGCAGGGCCCTGTTCCTTTGGTCTGCTCTGAATATCTCTCACCAATTGTTGTGCCGTAGCTGTGACGCCCAGAGCGTCATTAGAATACTGGCAGAGGATGGTGAAAGCGGATTGGATCCCGAATGTCAGCATGGAGCCTGGTTCTCCGTATCAGGGTAGACTGATGTGAGAGGCCAGGGACACAGACAGAAAGCGCAGAGAAGCCCTCTTTGTATCCAGTGTGTCTGATGCACTTTGGGCAGAAGCATCACTGATCTTCCAGCAGCTTTGCTGAATTTACCGTTTTTGCAAGCATATTGAAACGCTTCTTTTCACATATCCCAGCTTGCTCTCTTGCTCTCTCTCACACACACACACACACACACACACATGCGCACATAGAGAGCATATCCGAGCACATGGTCAGGCCATTTTTCTGGTGTCACTGGAGTGTTTCAGGGGGTAAGTCCCCAACGCACGTGAATATTCTGCCATGGGTGGGAATCGAACCAGCGAGTTTCCGATTACAAGCTTAAGCCACTGAGCCACACACCTTCCGTTGTTATCAAAAAATGTGTGCGAGAACAAAAAGGACTTGCTCAGTAACATTTAAAACTCTTTATATGTGGGGGGGAAAAAATTGGATAAATAAATGACTGACAACGCCAAGCCTCTCATTTCTGGATGGCTGGAATCTCAGATGAAGGATGGCTGAGGCACAGGTGTCTCTCGGTTGATCTGCCCGTCATGCTTGATCAGAAGAGCTACCTTAAGTTCATAGCAAATGGCTAAGTGTTTGAGTTCGGTTTAATGGCAGTTTTCAGTCTGAGGGGGCTGCTGGTGTGAAAGAGCGACAGCGAATGTGAGGATAATGTTTAGAATCCAAAGACAGTGCACATTTAAATGTAAATAGCAATTTGGTGTCGGTCTTTCCCCAACTCCTTTCCATATTTAGATTCTCTACACATCCGGAAATGACTATTGTTGCTGGGGTTGGGGGGGGGATGCAATTGAATAGCGGAGATGGAAATGACCCCCTCGTGGGGGAGAGCAACGTTTTACCATGGATAGGAACACCACACGCAGGGAAATCCCCAACCTTCCGCCACCTAACTGGAGATGCAGGAGCACCCACTGTGACCCCGCCTGGTGCCAGATATCCTGATCTACTGCGGAAATAAATATCACAGAAAATCTTTTGTATCTGGAAGACAAACAAAGGGCTCTGGCTTGGCGATTAAGCAACTTCTCTGTTGCCTTTACAACTGTTCAATAACAGTGGAAAAATGAACACTTGGGTCAATTTTGATTACACAGAACAATATGCATATCTGTAAGTAATAGGAAATGTTTTAACAATGACTCTGGTTGACCCCACTAAGAACCTTGACTTTCACCTGTTTTTGTTTGCTTTTTCTATTAGTCTATAGTATTAGTCAAAGCAATTAATTTTCGTTTGGCGGTCGCATTCACGTAAATCTTGTGATACTATTAGCCCGTGGATAAGATGTCTTTTCTAATACATGCTCAGTGTACCTGTGTGAAAACCTTCTGAAGGTGCTGCAGTGCCGTTTAGGTCCACCCCGCTCGGTGTTTTCTCGCCCAACCTGCCCTTCTCTCCTTAGGTTTCAGCGGAGACATGTGCCAGGTAGACAATGACGAGTGTGCCAGCACACCCTGCCACAACGGCGCCAAGTGCATCGACCGGCCCAACGGATATGAGTGCGAATGCGCGGAAGGTACCGGCGCCAAGAGCTGCCGCCTTTGTCCGAGCTTGTGTGCGGCCATGCCAGGCCTGACCCTTGACCCCTCTCCCATCCCACCTGGCAGGTTTTACGGGCCCGCTGTGCGAGGAGAACATAGACGACTGCAACCCCAAGCCCTGCCACCATGGCGAGTGTCGTGACGGCATCGCCACCTTCTACTGCGACTGCAGCCCGGGATACACCGGCCTCATCTGCCACATGCAAGTGAAGGAGTGCCTGAGCAACCCGTGCCAGAACCGGGGCCGCTGCATCGACCTGGTCAACAAGTACCAGTGCAACTGCCTGGCTGGGACCACTGGTGAGTGAGGCAGATGAGGGAGCCGGCCTGGATCTGTAGCAGAATAACTCTGAGTGTGTATCTGAGTACAGGCAACACGTTTGAACAGACTATAAGTCTGTTTCTTGGTCTGGCAAGTTTTCTCACCCTTCTTGACAGTAGTGGACTGAGGCTTTATGCTTGGTAACCTGACCTTACCTGACCTGACCTGGCTTGGCCTGCTGACTAGTGAGAGCCAGAACTCATCAGTCAGGTTCGGGCCAGTGCAGTCAGTCCCCATGAGTCACACGCCGCCACCTAGTCTGAATCGTAACTTCCCCCCCCCGCCCCCCGGATAGTGCTGCCACCAAGTGGAAGGTTGAGGTAGTGCCAGCAGCTCATGCTGTGCCTGTTTCCTGTGGCAGATCTAAGCAGGCCCATCTCTCCCATCTGCATCACCAGGTGTGAACTGTGAGATCAATTTCGACGACTGCGCCAACGACCCGTGTGAGTACGGCGAGTGCCAGGACGGCATCAACGAATACAAGTGTGTGTGCAATCCAGGATACACAGGTACTCAGGCTCCCCCATCTGGCCACACTTAGTCACTGCACCCATGTTTACGAACACTGTAAATTCATACATATTATACTGATGCTTGGCAGGCCTCTATGGGGCACACTGACTTCCTGGCACTATCTCATTCCCTTAGGGGAGAAGTGTGACGTGGAGATAAACGAGTGCGACTCTAACCCCTGCCTGAACGGGGGCACATGTGAAGATCGGCCAAACGGCTTCCACTGCCTTTGCCCCGCGGGGACCCACGGGCCCGTTTGCCACTCCGGGGCCGACCGCTGCTCCCCCCAGCCCTGTGACCACGGCGAGTGTGTGGAGCTACAAGACGGGTAGGGTGCCGCTCTCTGGTCCACTAACCCTGCGGTGTGTGCATGCGTCTCTCGTGGCAGCGTGTGACACCACTGTACCATGAAGGGCTGAACGCAAGAGTAGGGTTGGGCAATTAATCGAAAATGAATCAAAACCAACATTCAGAACCTGTACTTGACGTAATCTTGCCCATGTCAGTTACTTTGTTTTTTTTTTTTTGTTTTTTTTTAAATTCTGTTAATACTTAAAAAAAAAACGTTTAATACTTCCCCCCCAGTCAGTGTGTGTTCATGTACTGTCCCCTTAAAAACATACCGCCACGTGTCACGTGACACTGCCCCGTCCAGTCAGCAACATGGAAGCAAACTGAAACACCGAGCAGACTAAGCAACTCGAGCAGCTTATTCCAAAGGAAAATGCCGCGTCCGTCGTTTGGACTCATTGTGGCTTTAGTGAAGACGACACAAGAAGATGTCAGATGTAAACACTGCAAAAAAAACAGCTTCAGCTACCAAAAGTAATACCACCAATCATTTTTCAGCATCGGCAATATCTAAATTGCAGTGGAAACCGCTAATATGGATCAAAAAAGCTTGGGACAGAATCATTCCTGTACAAATACTGTTTAAATAATTCGCTTATACAGTATAATCATGTTATAGTGGACTCACTTATAACGGAATATCGTCTATAACAGATGAAGTCCGCTGGTCCAGGCCGTGCGCCTTTACGAACATGCAGTAAAAGCATCGGATGTAGTGGATTTGCATATAACAGAATTTTGCTTATAACGGACAAACAATTTGGTCCCCAGGGCCGCTTTTGGCTGTAGTTTTGTTCGGCTATAACGGACATGCAGGCTCCGCCTACAAGGCGCGTGGCGTGCCGCTGATATCCAGCGCAGATATATAGTCGGGATTATTAATAGTCACACTCTATAAATAGGCATGGCTTAACAGCAGGCAACACTGATTGGTCTGTGTGGCTGTCCATCACCAGGCACGCTGTGCGTTGCCAGGTGACGCTCGCAGCAGGAGGGATGCAGTAAGCAATGAGGTCAAGGTTACTACTGTACCGTACATGTATAACCACTTATAGGCCATATATACTTCCAACTGTCAGGTAAAGCTGGATTACTACATGAACAATATAATAATCTATAATTCTATATCATAAGTGTGTCTGCTGGGGTGTGGCATGAGTAAATGGTGTCCTGTAGTTGTGTTCTGGGCATACAGCAACTCTGGATATAACGGACATTGGATATAATGGAATGTTTTGCCAGATGCCTTAAAGTCCGTTAAAGCGGGATTGTGCTGTTGTAATCATGCAGTCCACTTAGTGTCCATTTAGGGTCTTTCTATACATAACATATGGAAAATATTAAAATTACGGCATTTTTTTTTTCTTGCCTACTTTACCTTGCCGTAACCCATCTGCTTCTGGCTAGCTACCTGAGGCTAATGCTACGTGCGCAGAAAACATGACGTGAAAAAAAAAAAAAGTAATTTTCTCTCAATTATGAATATAGACTCATCAAAGTTTATCATAAACTGCCAAAAGTGAGCCACCAAGATGCAGCAATGAAACTACAATGTTATATTTTATGTACAGTATTGTACTGTATTATAGTGAATTTGAATTCAGTTCAGTAAATTAATTTGTGCAGTACTGTAATTTGAAAAGCGTTTGAAACAGCTGTACTGTATTTAGAAAGAGTTAGTAAAATTCACGAAATAGTGATAATGTCCGTTTTATCACCTTATTTTCATGTAATAAATATACAAATGTCAATTAGATGGAAATCTGCCTGAGACATAAAGAAGAAAAAAAATTGGCTATAATGATCATCCGCTTATAGTGATCATCTGTTTATAGTGAATAAACCAAGACAGACGTGATCACTAGAGTATAAACGGTTTATTTTGTTTGCAAGAAATGGAAACTATTTTCTACTTTTTTTGGGAACTTGCTTTTTACATTAAAGACTAAAATTTGACCTTTTTCATTTCAAGCGATTTGTGCTTTGATTTCGGTTGTTCGAAAAGTTCAGTGAATAACCATAAATGGTTTATCTATGTTTCCTTCAATTATTTTTAAATGATAAAGACAAAATGTAGTCTTTCATTAGAAAAATATCCCAGCTTTAATATCTGAACATATTTACTGTGCACACTTTATCAATGAAATACGAGGGCAGACAAACAAACAAAAAAACAAAATAATTGTTCATTAATCGTAATCGAGGTAAAATGTTCAATTAATGGTGATATTGATTTGAGGTCATATTGCCCAGCCCTATGCCTCAGTGGCTCTGCTGTGTGGCTGATGAGCCCCCTTGCCCCCCCCCCAGATACCGGTGCGAGTGCGATCCTGGTTGGGAGGGTCAGCACTGCGAGCTGGACATCAACGAGTGCCAGTCCAACCCCTGCCAACACGGAGCCACCTGTACCGACCGGCTCAATGGCTATACCTGCAAGTGCAAGCGTGGCTTCACAGGTAGGCTCCTGGGCGCCCCCTTCAGGCGCCGTTCTCCCTCCCTTCCTCTTGGTAATTATAGGCTGTGTCTGAGCCTTCAATTTTCCCCCAGGTGAGAACTGTGAGGTCAACATAGACGAGTGCAAGTCCAACCCCTGCATGAACCGTGGTACCTGTGTGGATGGAGTCAACGGCTACAAATGCCTCTGCTCCCCACCCTACACAGGTAAAGGGTGCGATTGCGGAGGCAGGGCCCAGGGAGGGAAAGGCGGGGCCCCACACCCTGCAGGGTATCGGTTCAGGAGGTGCCAGTTTTGTGGGTGTGTCAGTTCGAATGGCTGTGAATCTGCGGGATATCCCTGTGCGTCATCACAGTGCGTATGCTCTGCACACAGGTCCGCAGTGCGCGGACAAGGTGGACTCGTGCAGCACCAAACCCTGCCAGAACCGCGGCCGCTGCCTCAACCACCAGGGCAGCTACTCCTGCGAGTGCCAGATGGGCTACAGCGGACGCAACTGTGAGATCAACATTGACGACTGCTCCTCCAGTGAGTCCCGAACCTTGCGCCCGCGGCCCCCCACTCTCTGCTCCCGTCCTCTCGCCCCTCACTCTGGCCCCGTCTCCCCGCAGATCCCTGCTTGAACGGCGGCACCTGCCTGGATGGCGTGGGCAGCTACTCATGCAGCTGCAGGCCGGGCTTCCATGGCTGGCGCTGCGACATTGAGGTGGACGAATGCGGCAGCAACCCGTGCCAGAACGGCGCCCGCTGCAGCGACTATGTCAATAGCTACACGTGCGAGTGCTTGCCCGGTTTCGACGGCATCCACTGCGAGCACAACATCCCCGAGTGCACGGAAAGGTATGGCGGAATCACCCCCCCCCCCGCCTCTTCGCCCCACCATGCCCTGCTCGCCTGCGCACCTCATGCCACCTCACCCGTCGCGTTTCTCGCTCGCAGCTCCTGCCTAAACAATGGCACCTGCATCGACGGCATTAACGAGTTCTCATGCCGCTGCCGACCTGGTTTTACCGGAGCCTTCTGCCAGTATGAGATCAACGAGTGTGACTCCCAGCCCTGCAAGAATGGCGGCACCTGCACCGATGGCTTGGGCTCCTACCAGTGCTCCTGCCCACTGGAGTACACTGGTCTCAACTGCCAGGTGGGGCCTGTCTGCCGTGTCACTGTGCCACCCAGTGCCAGTCAGGGTCTTAGCTAAACGTGACGCACTGTCAGGTGCCTAGTGCCATCCTGCGTGTTCCCCCCTCTCTGCAGTTCTTGGCAAACCTCTGTAGCTCCTCACTGTGCCTCAATGGTGGGACGTGCATCCAGCGGGTGACGTCGTGGGGGTGCCACTGCCCCGAGGGCTGGACGGGGCTCTACTGCGATGTCCCCAGCATGTCGTGCCAGGCCTTCGCCACCCGCAAAGGTACCCCATCTGCACCGCCCTGCCGGCTGGCTGCATCGCCACACACACGCACCTGCCTGTGACTGAAATCCCGCACCCCTGTGCCTCCGTCAGGTGTGCCCGTGGACATGGTGTGCCAGCATGCCGGCCGCTGCCTGGACATGGGCAACACCCACCGCTGCCAGTGCCAGGCGGGCTACATGGGCAGCTACTGCGAGAAGGAGGTGGACGAGTGTCTGTCCAACCCGTGCCGCAATGGCGCCACCTGTGTGGACTATCAGGGTGCCTACGAGTGCCAGGTATCTGCCTCGACCCCCCCCCCCCCAGTGTGCGCTCTCTGTGTCCACTGCCACCGTGACACCCCCTCTCTCCCCTCTGTCGCAGTGCAAGCCTGGCTTCCAGGGGGTCAACTGTCAGTACGATGTGGACGAGTGTCAGTCTCAGCCCTGCCTGCACGGAGGGACGTGCATCAACCTGGAGAACCGCTTCTCCTGCTCTTGCCCGCCGGGCACTCACGGTGAGTGACGTGTGCGTCTGTGTGTGCGCGTCCGCTGCGACAGTGTATGTCTGACCGTCCAACCGCTGTCCGCAAACAGGTGTCCGCTGTGAGGTGGATGTGGACGACTGTGCGCCTGAGCCTGGGTCCTCGCGGCCCCGTTGCCTGAACGGGGGTCAGTGTGTGGACGGCGTGGGCCGCTTCCACTGCTCCTGCCCCCCGGGCTTCGCCGGTGAGCACTGCGAGGGCGACGTCAACGAGTGCCTGTCTGCGCCCTGCCGTGCCCCTGGCAGCCTGGACTGTATCCAGCTGACTAATGACTACCAGTGCCGCTGCCAGCTGGGCTACACAGGTACCCGCATCCGGGGGTTCACCCACTCCTCGGGGGGGGCGGTGTTTACATCACGTGACAGGGGGCACGCCTACACCACTATGGGTCAGCTTGTGTGTCTGTGGGTGTTTGTTCCAAACCTTTTTAAAAAGTACATAATTTACATGCTTGTGCTTAGCAAATGCTTCAGCGTTGTTTATCGGCCGTGTAAAGTACTATCTGTATGTATTGTGCCTGAGTTCGGCGCTGCCACAACCAACAAGACTAGCAAGGGTCTCGTTTGTGGGCCGGTCCCCTGTGAATTTTCTGAGCAGCTAACCTGTTTGCTCGACCCCTCTACTGGGCCGGGTCTGCCTGATAAAGTGCCTCTTTGTCCCTCCTCAGGACGGCACTGTGAGTCCATGGTGGATCTGTGCAAATCCAGGCCGTGCCACAACGGGGGGATCTGCTCCATGAACACCAGCTCCATGCACGGATACAGCTGCACCTGCCAGTCGGTACGCTCTTTACTGCAGAGGCGGCTACGCTGTGAAACGCCCTCCTCCTATGTGCGTGTGCGTCAGTGTGTGCATGTGTGTGGATATTATATTTTGGGGACCAAATGTTCCGACAATGTCACAAATTTTATAAAAAATCTGTGACTGCAATCAATACTAAAAATGCCAAAAGTCCTGTATTATGTTTGGTTACTTATGGATAAATAAGGATTGGGCTGGGTGGGGGTTAAGGTCGTCATTGTTGGGATTAGGGTTTTTCCCATAGAAATGAATGGACGGTCTGCACAAAGATATGAATACAGACGTGTGTGTGTGTGTGTGTGTGTGTGTGAGAGAGATCTGAGCCGTGCTGTACATCCTAACTGCTCTCCTTACAATCTCACCTTTCATTCTTGTCCTCACGCTGACATCAGAGAGGGGTGAGGCAGCTCAGCGCAGGTATGACCTCACGGGAGGGACAGTCTGAAAGGCGGCGTCTGTGTCTGTGCAGTGCGATGTCCTCACACGCTGACCTGTGTGCCCTGACAGCTGCTCCCGCCGTGCGTCACAGTCACCATTTCCTCTCGCCCCACTCAGGGTTTCTCAGGGTTCAACTGCGGGGACCCTGAGGGTTCAGGCTGTACCAGCCTGCGTTGCCAGAATGGCGGCCGCTGCCAAGAAGGGGCGGGTGGGCGCCCTTACTGCCGCTGCCCCGCCCTCTTCTCCGGCCGGCATTGCGAGATACGCCAGCCCATCCCCACGTTGCCCGCCGTCCCCGAGACGGTGTGCCCATACCTCGAGTGCCAGCAGCAGGCAGGCGACCGTGTGTGCGACCAGCAGTGCAACCGGCACGAGTGCAAGTGGGACAGCGGCGACTGCTCGCTGAACTGGAACAAGTCGTGGGAGAACTGCACTGATCCCGTGCCCTGCCGGCAGCTCTTCCGCAATGGCCGCTGCGACCCCGAATGCGACAACCCTGAGTGCCTCTTCGACAGCTTTGAGTGCCAGCCAGCGCCCTCCCTCTGCAGGTAGGTGGTGCTGCCACATGGCTTGCGCACCGGCCCTGGCAGGTAGCGACACGGCTAACCCCCCTGCACCTCTCCTAGGTATGACAAGTACTGCGCTGATCACTACGCCAACGGCCACTGCAACCAGGGCTGCAACACGGAGGAGTGTGGCTGGGACGGCCTGGACTGTGATAAAGATGCGCCGCCGCAGGTGGCTGATGGCACGCTTGTGGTGGTGGTCCTGCTGCAGCCGCACGAGCTGTTAGGAGACCTGCGTGGATTCCTGCGCTCACTGGGCACGTTGCTGCACACTAACGTGCGCGTCAAGCTGGATGAGCAACAGAAGCTCATGATCTACCCCTACTATGGCCCAGAGAGCGACGGCACCAGCGGAGGGGCGGCCCAATCCAGAGGCAGGGGCAAGCGGGAACTGGGCGAGAAGGAGGTCATCGGGTAAGGCCGCCCAGAGCGCATCACATGACCAAGATTAGCGTATCCGATTTGTGTTGGATACCATGTAAGGTGACGGCTGTCCTCCCTGCACCTCAGGTCCAAGGCCTACTTGGAAATCGACAACCGGCAGTGTTCCCAGAACTCGAAGCACTGCTTCTCCAACACGGAGCTGGTAGCGTCCTACATCGCCGCCGAGTACCTGAAGAAAGAGCTTCCCTACCCGGTTATCTCCGTGGACAGTAAGCGGCCTCACGCTCTCAGTGACGAGAAGCATTCGCACGTGCTTCTGAGCGAGTCGTTTGCTGTTGATTTCATGATCGTGTACGAAAGGCAGCTTTGCGGCAGTGTCTGAGGAACATAAGAGAGCCCCACTACTCCTGTTGCCCAGGTGAGCCCGGTGGTATTCTGATTACCTCTCACCTGATGTACGTGGTGGGCGTGGCCGTCTTCATCATCCTCCTCATCCTGGTGCTGGGGGTGCTGGTGGCCAAGCGCAAGCGCAAGCACGGCATCCTTTGGCTGCCCGACGGCTTCATCACCAAGAAGGACGCCAAGCGCCGCGAGCCCGTGGGCCAGGATGACTTCGGCTTGAAGTAAGTGTGGTGTTGGAACACCTCACCCAGATCGCGGTGGTTGTGGATCATCTAACTGTCCCTCCCTCGCAGGAACATGGTGAAGCCTCAGGATGGAGGGATGATGGACACCAACCAGAACAAGGGGTGGCTTGAAGAGGGCCTACCAGCGAAGAAGGCGAGGGTGAGGAAGATGGCATGGTGCGATGGGGAGGGGGGAGCCTGCCCAGGATCTGCCCCTCATGGTTGGTTCTGACTCCTCAGACGGAGGTCAAGCCGCTCCTGCCCGTAGGGGTGGACGGAGGCGTGGACCGGCGGGAGTGGACACTGCAGCACCACAAGGCGGCCGACATCACGCTGACGCCCCCCCAGGCTGACCTCGACATGGACTGTCTGGATGTCAACGTCAAGGGCCCAGGTAGCAAGCCAGAAGTGTGCAGAAACGCAGCACTGCCGAGTCTTTGTGGCACACAGTCATGCTGTGCTTCATAAGCCAGTTCCCAGGGAATCAGGGCTGTGATCGTCACTTATCGGTTAAATGTACTTTTTTAAAGTAAACAACATTTGGAACAGTAGTAACCTGATGTTACCATGGTAGCATCTATATAAATGCTGACTCTAAATGTGTGAATCTAGCGCAGGAGGCCTGAGCAGGAGAGCATCATTCTTGTGGGTTTGGTGTTTTCAGATGGGTTCACCCCCCTCATGCTGGCCTCCCTGCGTAGCGGGGGCACGGCGGACTGTAGCAGCCTGACGGGCGAGGAGGAGGAGGAGAGTGGGCTGGACGAGCCGGGGGCCAGCGTCATCAGCGACCTCATCGCCCAGGGTGCCACACTGTTGGCGCAGACCGACCGCACGGGCGAGACCGCGCTGCACCTGGCTGCCCGCTACGCCCGCGCCGACGCTGCTAAGAGGCTGCTGGATGCTGGGGCTGACCCCAACGCGCATGACAACATGGGTCGCACCCCCTTGCATGCTGCCGTCTCTGCTGATGCGCAGGGTGTCTTCCAGGTCAGTGGGGCATGCTGCCGTACTGTGGCGAACAAAACAGGCCAGCTATAATCACTGCTTTGACTCCTCATTGACTCCGACGAGTCACATATGAGTCTCAGAAACAGGAAAATTCAAAGCTAATTCGTTGATATGGGATATCCGAAAGGAGTGTGGGATGTCGTGTCGTTTTGTGTTGCGGTCATGCCACTCGTCACTGAAGCCCGCTTTGGTCCCTGCAGATTCTGATCCGGAACCGCGCAACAGACTTGGACGCGCGCATGAATGATGGCACCACACCCCTGATCCTGGCGGCGCGCCTGGCCGTGGAGGGCATGGTGGAGGAGCTTGTGCACTGCCACGCCGACGTCAACGCGGTCGACGACCACGGTGAGCCACAACCAGACCTTACCCACAGTGGCCCTGGCTGTACAATAGGAGTTGTAAGGTGGATGTTTGATGTGTGCAGTGCTACGCTTATTTATGACCATTCAAGGGTCTTTACCTGCTCACTGTCTCATCAGTCCTGGCGTGGACTGGCCATCGGGAAATTTGGGAAATTAGCCAGGGTGCCAGTCCAATGAGGCTGATGGCAAACTATCCCCCCCGGTGGGCAGCAAAATATCAAATTGGGGTCATTTGCCAACAAAATCCCATGCTGCATTTTGTTGCCAGTCAGTCCCTGCATCAGTCTAATCATGTGAAGCTGCATGCATTTATGTTCCCAGACATGCACTGATGGTTTTGCCCCCTCCTCCTCCCCAGGTAAATCTGCTCTGCACTGGGCTGCGGCCGTCAACAATGTGGAGGCCACTCTGGTGCTCCTGAAGAACGGAGCCAACCGGGACATGCAGGATAACAAGGTGTGAGCCGCCCCCTCTGCTCTTCCCGTTACCCCCCCTCCCACTTACTCCCCGGGCTGCCCTGCCCCCCACTCGCCCCCGCCCCTTGCTCGCTTGCTCCCCTCGTTCTATCGTAACCATCCCATCTCGTCTGGCAGGAGGAGACGCCCCTATTCCTGGCAGCACGGGAGGGCAGCTTCGAAGCGGCTCAGGTGCTGCTGGACCACTACTCTAACCGGGACATTACGGACCACCTGGACCGGCTGCCCCGGGACACCGCGCAGGAGCGCATGCATCATGACATCGTGCGCCTATTGGACCAGTACAACCTGGTGCAGAGTCCTCATGGCGGCCAGGCTCACATGGGCGCAGGCGGAGCCCACTCCACCCTGGGCTGCGGCTCCGGTGTGGGCTTCGTGGGCATGCGTGCCGGACCCCAGGGCAAGAAGAGCCGACGTGGGGGAGCCAAGGCGGCCGGAGCCGGGACCGGAGGCGGGGTGGCCAAGGAGCTGAAGGATGTGAAGGCCAAGCGCAGGAAGAAACCGGCCGGAGGGGAGATGCCCTCCACGGGGCCGGCTGGGGGTGGGGCTGGGGGTGGTGCTGGGGGTGGTGCTGGGGGCGTCGCAGGCAATGCCAAGGCAGCCAATGGGGGCCTCTCTGAGAGCTCGGTCACCCTGTCGCCAATCGACTCCCTGGAGTCCCCGCACTCGTTTGCCGGAGACGCTGCCTGCGTGAGCACCGTCACCGCCACCTCGCCACCCCTCCTGTCCAGCCCCTCGGCACGGCCGCTGCTGCCCCCTGTCAGCCACATGCTGGGCCAGCAGCATGCCTGGGCGGGGCTTGCCAAGCAGGGCTATGGCCTGCTCCCGCACGCGCTGGGCGCGCCGCACCCCACCTCCGGCATGCTGGGCCCTATGAATGTCACCATGAGCCGGGAGCAGCTCCCCCCCATAGTCACCTTCCAGATGATGGCGCCGGGCACCGGTCAGGCCATGCTGAAGCAGTCGCAGCTGGGCCAGCTGCAGAGCCAGGTGCAGCCACACTCCCAGGCTCTCCCCCCTCATCTGCAGTGTGCACCGGGCATGATGTACCAGATTCCGGACGTGGGTCTCACGCGGTCCCTGTCCCACACCCTTCCCCACCCCCACAGCCACTCTGTCGCCCACAGCAACGGCCTTGGCGACCCCCAGCCTCGTCAGCTCCCTCCCTACCACACCATGCAGAGTCCTGTGGATAAATACCCGACACCCCCCTCCCAGCACAGCTGTGCCACAGCCAGCTCTGAGGGCACGACACCAGGGCACCCGGCTCACCCCCCCAATGAGCACCCCTACCTCACCCCGTCCCCGGAGTCGCCCGACCCCTGGTCATCGTCCTCCCCCCACTCCAACTCGGACTGGTCTGATGTAACAACCAGCCCCACCCCTCTGGGGAACCTGCACGCACTGCCCCCGTCCCGGCACACACACATTCCGGAGCAAGCGCCACGGCAACCACAAGCGCAGCAGATGCAGGCGCAACAGCCCCAACACAGCGGCATGCAAGTCTATGCATAGGCTCTGACCTTTGACCTCTTCCTTATGTCCATATCCTCACTAAGACAGCTGGCTGACAGCGATCTGCTGTGTCCCCCTTGACTTTACACATCTGGGTCATTTTCCCTTCTCTCACTACACCCCAGACGTCTCCTTCCGCTCCTTCAGTCCTCCATACTTGCATTTTCCTTAGTAGCTATTTAGTTCCAAAGTGTCATTGTGCTGCTGACCTTCAGCGAAAACCCTTCACTCACTGCCATCGCTGTCATGGGCTTTCATTTGTCAGAATCTGCAGTATCACTGTTCTTTGTCCTGTTTGTGTGCCTGTGCATTATGTGGACTGAGCTCATCTTTAGAGATCTACAGGGAGTTATTTCACGTTGCACTTTGCAGTGGGTAACATCTGCTGACCTGAGCTCCATCAGCCATGAACAAACAGTGATGTTCTGCCAGGAAGATGGATGGAAACGGGTGGAAAAACTGAGGACAGACGATATTTTCCAGTGAATGGACTTTTTGCCATAATACATAACTAATATTTTCTCTTTCTTCTGAAGGATAAATCTTTATGTAAATTTCAATTTGTCTTCGCTCTTCATCCCTATGCAGTTTTTCATAGAGTAATGTTACATTTTTTCTTGTTAGTATGTTAACTTAATTCTGGGTTTTTCCACCTGTAAAACTTGTGATAAGCTGTATTTTTTGTTTCTAAACCAAAAATAATGGTATGTTGATGGGTGGTTTTTGGTTATGATGTTGTGAAGCCTTGGTTAATGTTGTTAAGAAGCCCCCTGTTCAGCCCAGTGGGTTACAAGGCGCACAGCCTGATGCGTATATGATCGCCCTGGTGTTTCATTGGGCTTCTACTTAAACTGTGGTGCAAGAGGTGGTGCAAGAGGTGATTTTTTTTTTCCTACATGTAATGTACATTGTTTATATTGCTCTCTGAACTAACTGGTATTCTGTCTGAAAGGGAGGCCGGGTGTCAGGGTGCAGTGTCAGATGGGGGGGGGGAACAGTCTGTTACTGAGAAACACAAGTTGAGACTGATGGTTGAGACAGAGAGACGACAGGAAACTGGGAGAGAGTGACGAAGTGACATCGTCAGATGGGCTTCTTGCGTGTTGAGATAGTTTGGAGCTCACTCTGTCGCAGCATTATAAGTGCCTCATGAGTCTTACCAGGCTCTAGTGACCTGAAACAGGTCACTAGTGGTGACACAACACTGATGCACATTGGACAGGAGTGTGGCCTCACGCTGCCCCCTCCTGTCCTCGTTTTTCCTATACAGTGACGATGTCATCGTTGTTGCCTTTCCTTAAATACCGTTTTATATTGTTCCTGCTTTCATCATTGTAACTGGCCATTTTTTTTTTTACTTTTAAATAGCAATTATTCACTTTCTCTTAATTGCAATCAATGTTTTGTGCCTTTTAAATTTTGATGCAATTTAAGATCCACATTGAATATGTCTGAGATGTGTTTATATTGTAGTATTTGTTCCTCATGAGCTTAGCTGTCTCTCTCTCTTGCTGTCATGCATGTAAAGACAATCAGTGAGCGTCTCTTACACGGTGATGGCCCACAAAACTGCGTCTGAACGGTACCAATTTTTTTAACATTTACAAATGTTACTGTAATTGGCTTTTTAAAGAATGGGAAGACCTGTCACCTGTGGTACATTTATATGTGATTTTGTCAGTGTTTGACTTTTTCTGGACCAGCAGATGAGCAGATAAATTGAGCCCCGCTTAGATGTAAAATATTTATCTATGATGAAGCGTGATTAAGGTATACAGAGGAAGAAGCTGGTGATTTATCTGGTTTACTGGTAGCTGTGTTATTAGATGGTACCAGTGAGACTAGAACACATGGGATTCGTTATCACGGAATCCAGAGTTATATCTGATTTACCCTATTATGGCTCAACTTTTACATGCAGCGTTGTGTCTCACTAGCTTTTAGTTTGGCTCCGGTTGTCTTGTCCCACACTGTGCTTTTTCCTTGTTTTCTGGAATATTTTACTGAATTGTTTTGTTTCTCATCGATTGCCTGTAAATGCTACACCAGTGACAAGCGTGACCGGTCTCGTCTGTCGACGAGAACGCGCAAAGGCACCAGAGCGACTGTTGATTGCACTTGTTTTGCTGTCAACAAGTCATTGTGCATTGAAATGTTCTGTCCTTTAAACATTTCCGTTCAGTAGCACTTAGCCCTCACTATTGTGCAGTCTATAGTCAGGCTTGTCTTTTGGTGTGTATGTCTGTCTGCGTGCGTGCGTCCGCCCGTGCGTCCGTATTTGCGTGTGTTGGGGGTATGGACGTATAATCCTGCCTATGTAATAGTCACCCAGTCAGCAGTGATCATGGGCCTCTCTCTTTCACCTAAGTGCTCCTTATAAGGTTATTTTAACATACTGTATATAAACCATATTACCATGTTACATGAAGAATGTTTTTTTTTTTCTTATGTTTGTACACCTTAGAAGGAACTTGTAACTCGTGAATAAGGAACAAAAGTTTAATTCCTAAGGCAGGAAAGTGATTACGTTGAAATACATCAATAAAGAACCTTTTCTGTCAAAACATCTTTTCATCCTCAGTGCTTGAACATGAGTTACGTCTTAAGTCACTTTTTGCTGTTGAGTAATTAGGTATTAGATACTAATGGGGTTATGTTGAGATTGAAGTGCATATACAGTTCAGTGAAGTAACACGGTATTAACGGGACGGTGAAGGACATGATATGTTACACCTGAAGATGGTAGTATAGGAAATGAAAAATCATAATTGGTTCCTCCCCCTTGCACTCCAGTAAATAATGTATGGTTGTGTCCGTTAAACGTGAACATTCATTCATCGTTCATCAAGGAAGCACAAACGTGTAAACACAATATAGGATGGGATCTGCAACCACCATCCCATCACAAAGATGCTGTCGCTCACTTGGCTTATTTAACCTGGTTAATGTCTGCTCCCACGAAGGCTACGGGATCTTTCCATAAGCAGGGAGCTTCAAACACTCAGAGCATGGATCGCTCAGCCAGCAGGGGTCGCAAATGAGCAAGGTAGTACCTTAAAGGGTTAAACCGAAAATCTGCTGAATTTGGATGAACCTGAAATAAGGCCAGATATATGGATTCGAGGGAATCGGACGTGAGCCGCCAGGTGACGTAGAGCTATGAGGAATGGTGCGGGTCCGAGAGCATGGGCGGGTGGGTAAGTAGGCGTAGGATTCAAGGCTGAGTTCTGTACATTCGAGCAAACAAGAGAGAATCAGGAACCCCCTGAGCGGAGCAAACAGAAACACAAAATAAGACAAGACAGGTAATATATAAATAATACGTACAAGATAGGCAATAAATATATTCAAAAATACAAATGTCATAAATATATTTGTGGTGTTGTGGTGCATGAGGGTTATGTGTGAGAGTTCTTTACTGCCCGGTTGAGCCTCGTCCCAGCTGGCAGTGCGGGCTCTCGCAAGTGGTGTCCTAGGTACGATGCCTCACGTGACAATCCGACAGCTTCATTCGCTTCAGAGACCCCTGGTGTCTGCAGGAGGAGTAAAAGCTAATAGTTACAGGGTTGCCAACTCTCACGCATCTGGCATGACACTCTGGCTTTCAGACTCTCGCGCTCACGCAAGAAATCTTACGGCGAGTATGCATTATTCCATTAGAAAACTAAAATTTGCTACATCAAAAGCGTTGGGGTGGTTTGCAAAACTTATTTTCAAGGTAATGAAGCTTACATATATGTCCATATATGTGCAGACAGTCTCGAATTGAATATCTCACGCCAGCCTGTGCTGTGTTTAACATAATGCTTCATTATATCAGAAAAAAGACTAGTTACTGCTTGACATATCAAGAGTAAACTAGTTACTGCAGCAAACATCAGGAATAGATTAATTATTCATAAAACGTTAGGAGCAGATTCATCAAATAATGTTTTTAAGTCCGTTGCCTCACACACCTCTGGGACCAGCGTTTGAGTCTCCACTGTGACTCCTTGTGTGTGGAGTTTGCATGTTCATGTCATTGTGGGGTTTCCTCTGGGTACTCCGGTTTCCCCCCACAGTCCAGAAACATGCTGAGGTTTATTGGAGTTGCCAAATTGCCCGTAGGTGTGCCCATGTGAGTGAATGGTGTGTGAGTGTGCCCTGCGATTGGTTGGCACCCCATCCTGGGTTGTACCCTGTCTTGTGCCTATAGCCTTCGGGATAGACTCTGGACCCCACGAGACCTTGAATAGGACAAGTGGTTTCAAAAAATGGATGGATGGATTTGCTGGAAAGTGACACAAAGCTGCACTCTGAGTGTCCACAGTTTAGTCTGTCAGAGTTGTCACTTAAACTGCCATCTCATTGACTCACTGATCTCTGCCGTCAATGGGGAGACCATTGTGAATGCAGCCTGGATGCAGTGTCTTGTTATGCATTTTAGATTGTATTTATTTGTCAGATGTCTTTATTATTATTATTGATACTTTTTTGATACCCACGGGGAAATTTGAAGGCCATGAAGGACAGCCACCCATAGCCGCACCCAGAGAGCTGGGGGTTAAGGGCCTCGCTGAAAGACCCAAGGATGTGCTGAAGCTGGACTCAAACCAGCAACCTTCTGATCAAAGGCACAGAGGCTTAGCCCATTGAGCCACACAATGCCTCCCCCCCTCTCAAAATGATGTACATTTCTGAGAGAGCAGAGTCACACCGTCCCTGGAGGTTAAGGGTCTAACTCAAGTGCCCACTGGTGAAGTCAATCTGCTAGCACTGGGATTAGAGCCAGTGACCTTCTGATTACAGACGCCCCCCAAGACCATGTCTTGACCAGGGTAATATACCATGTATCTGCATGGGAAGTGGGTTTCTTTTGCTTGACATTACAATACTTGTGCATGTTATCTTCTGTTTCACAGCCAGTGCCACCTAGTGTTCAGGTTCACAGCTGCCACTGAAATGCTCCAGACTGAAATGTTCAGCGGACCGGACTCGGCAAGATGACTGAGCTCAGGGCATGAGCTGCAAGCGTTCCCATTGGCTGGCGTTCCTATGAGAGACATCCGCTGGGCTGTCCAATGAGGGAAAGGTCACTGAGGCATGGAACAGCAACGGCAGTGCACAGTGTGACCTTCTGCCGGTATGTTCTGATGTGCGGTCCAGGAAAGGGGGGGGGGGCGTCAGAGGGGGGAGCACGGTTAATTAGATAAGGGACTTGCAGTAAGTTACACTGTTACATGTTTTGGTGTAGTTTAGAGTTCAATTGCAAACAAACATTCTTTATTTTGGTATATTTGATTTCACACCTTAAAAATTCGAGTCGATACTGATGTTTCTTTTCTGGTTCCGATTTGCATGCATGTGCCTGCCAACTAACCAACTAACCAGCTAACTAGCGAACCAGCTAACCAGATTCACCTTATGCAGCATGTTAGAAGGCACTTCATAATACTAACTCACCAGCATGTACTGAGCGTCTGGGTCGGACACGTCTAGCAGGACTCCGCTGCCTGTGATTTTCTCACTGTCCTTTGTTTTCTGGCTTAATTACCCAGCCTGTCAGGCACCAGACAACGTTCTACTTGAGGACAGACTAGCAAACCTATTCTGGTTTCACCTGAGTTACTGTAGCAAATTGAATCTCATGATTAGCTATTCAGCTGGATAGTGGCTTTGGGTTTATCTGTCTCCCAAGGAGCTAAAATGTAAATGCATGTTGTTTCTGGCTAATATGATGTGATTTTCTGTGCGGTTTGCGGTGAGGAGATGGGGACTCAGGAGGCCTGCGGCCAGGAATTATGGGTAAAGGGCCTTGGGCAGCTAGCTAACTGCCCCCAGCTCTCTGACATAACCTTTGGATAACTGAACCCAAAAATAACCTACAGCCTGCCTCTGAAGCCTTGGAAAGTGTTCCATAGAGGAACAGCGTGATCACCCTCAGACTGCTTACACAAGTTAGCCATCTAGCTGCCTTTTCTCATTTCTCAATCATCCCTGTTCATTACATTGTGTGTGTGTGTGTGTGTCTGTGCGTGTGTGTGTGTACAGTATGTGGCCATATGTATATTACATTGTGGGGACCAACTTTTACCTTGTGGGGACATTTCTTTCCATCCTCACAAGGGGAACTAGTTTTATAAAATAAAAAAACTAAAAATTCCAAAAGTCTTCTATTTTCTTTGGTTACTTATGGTTAAGGTTAAGGTTGGATAGATTGTCATAGTTGGGATTGGGTCATGCACAAAGAAATGAATGGTGATCAAAGTAAAATGTCCACAGAAAGTTATAGATACCTAATCCATGTGTGTGTGAGTGTTCACCCTCGTCTGTGTGTAATGGTGTTTCTTTTGTGCTGGGACTGGACTCATGAGTGAGTTTATGTATGATGGTGCCAGGTTTTGCGTGGCAACAGGGTAGATCAGACTATGATAAATCCCTGTAGGGGCTGTAATGATGTGCGATGTCCTGCGGACTGACACAGCGATGTCCTGCGGACTGACACAGCGATGTCCTGCGGACTGACACAGCAGGCACATAGCCAGTTAGTGAAATTATGGGTTTGAGGCCCTCTCGAAATCTGCTTGAGCCCTCACTCATTCAGTGAACCAAGGGGAATCCCCCCAAATTTATTTCTGGCTACAGGCCTGACACAGTGATGGTTTTTCACAGTGTGCCGCAATTCTCTTATAGCGTAGATGTCTGTTAAGAAAGCTGCGAGGCCTTAAGTCCGGCTGGCATTAGGGAACTCCCCTCTCACCAGCTCTGGACAGGAGGCATCGCCTTCTTACACAAGTGAGACAGGAGATTCTGGGACATCCCGCCTTCGTGGCCTCCTCGTTCTGAATGCATGCTGCGTGCTCCTCATGCACTTCTGCATAAAAGTCTTGCCCCTGATTTTTGTGAAAACCTATGCATGTCTTAGCAAATCAATTCTATGCACCTGAATTCCGCTAATTGCACAAGGCTTATCTTATAAAACTGCACACTGCAGCATTTTTAATTCATTTCTTCCTGCCCAGTACCCGCTGTGCTCATTCGCTGGCCAGTTTGTGCTCTTCCTGGCTTCTTAGAGGGCTGCTGATAGCTGCTGTCATCGAGTATGCAGACAGTTTCTTATAGGCTGCTGCCATATCGCCCTCAGTCATCCTGTCCACCCTCAGCTCCTGTTTCAGGCCGGGGCACTGTGACTAGCAGGTAAAACCATCCATAGACTGCATGCTCAGACTGATTTACCCTAAGGGAGACCCTCTCTCTCTCTCTCTCTCTCTCTCTGTCTCTCTCTCTCTCACACACACACACACACACTTACATATACAGCCGTGGAAAAAAATTAAGAGAAATATATGTTTTTTTTTTTTTTTGCAAATTGCAGCCTGATTCTTCTCTGTTTCTCATTGATGAAGGGCTTCTTCCTTACTTTATGGGACTTCAGTCCTGCTTCTAGCAGCCTGTTGTGATTGTCCTAGCAGTGCACATCACACCTGCACTTAATGTTTCCCAATTCCATTTGAATGTCACTTGATGTCATCCTCCGATTCATGAGAAACTGTCGGATAAGTTAGCAGTCATCTCTGCCGTTAGACAGTTGTTTTTGCTCTTTACCTGGCTGGTTTCTGGTCGTTCCCCTGTTCTTATGTACTGTTGCCTTGGAAACTTTGAGCTGGAAGCAGCCTGCCTTGCAGTGTAGCCTTCTGCCAACAGAACCAGGATTAAACCAGGATTTACAAATGCAGATTTGTTTTTGAGTTATTGAGTGGTCTCTTATTTTTTTCCACTGCTGTGTGCGTGTGTGTTTGTGTGTGTGTGTGTGTGTGTGTGTGTGTGTGTGTATATATATATATACACAGACACAATTTCTCTCTTTTCTGTAATATTTCTTTTTCTCCATCTCATGGTCTGTAAAACAATGTCGGGCTGATGTGTGATTCTTCATTACCCTAGAAGTGCTATCAGGGTGTTAATGAATAGTAGCTTAAAGTTCTCATGTGACATGATTCTAACCTCTCTCAAGTTGTCATGTGACATGATTCTAACCTCTCTCAAGTTGTCATGTGACATGATTCTAGCCTCTCTCAAGTTGTCATGTGACATCCTCCTAACATCTCCCTGCCTTCAAGTCAAGTCAGACAAATCGTACATACGGGATGAGATCACATGAATGCGACTACAAAGTCGTATTTAACCCGTGGGGAACTCGGGATTTTCTTAAAGCTCAGAGTTCCCAAGTCATTACAACAGTCATGGTGGAGGTGAGGGATAGGGTGTCATTGCAAAACTGTTATGGTGTAACAAAATTGGTAGGTTTTTATCTCAATAGCCGGTAGCCGGTCAGCTACCTGCTGCATGAGCGATGGATTACGGAAAGTTCAATTAACACTACAGATGTGTTTTCACGTGGGAGGAACGAAAAATACCGCAAAACAAAAGAGTAGCTTTCTTATGGCTCATTTTGCTCCGACGTAACCACTTGAACGCGTGTCATGTCGTAATTACGATTTAGCAACTTCCGACTCAGATCTCCTTTGTATGACTTGAAGGCAGCATATATCTCTCTCTCTCTCTCTCTCTCTCTCTCTCTTTCTCTCTGTCTATTTCTGGAGCTCCCTTTATTATTGTGGCCACATTCCTCTACAGGTATGATGGCAATCCTTCCCCCACCCACAGCCGTGCATTGAGCAAGAGGGGAGTGAAGGCTGAACAGGAAAGGTCAGGGGAAAGGTGCTGGAATGAAAGTCCTTACGGGACATTAAACGTCGTGCCTGGGGAGACCTTGGCTGTTTGTGCTCTCCATGCTAATCATCTGCTCCTCAGCTACGTGATGAAGAGTAAGAAAAGATGCCAATGAGTGTATTTTACTTTGGTCTTTTATAAAGTAAAGAAGTTTGTTTCTTTTGAATCTGACTGATTTTTGGTCTGATTTTAGAGTCGGCTTGGAGAGTGTTCTTTTTGTGTGTGTGTCTGTGCAGGCACACGCGTGTAACGCCGCACACGCACAGAGGTGTCCCCTACCGGTTTGTCAATTAACTAATTAGCTCAATTTACCAACGGTGCTCTGTTGATTGAACGTGAACGGTACTGCTCGTCAGGCCAGGTCATTTCCTGGGAACGTGGCGGTCTTTCTGTCTACAAAGACATTGCTCTTGCCTCTCTCTGACGTAAATGTGCTTTTTTTAGTGCAGTGCCATGTTGCCTGGAGACCCTAGTTTGCTAATTAGCATCCATGCTGCCTCCTAGCGTGTGCATGAGTGGCGTATAGAGCTGTAATGTTTCCTCAAACACAACTAGCCACTACTGCTCATTTTATTCTTTTATTGTTTTTGGAAACACTGCTTGCATGCAAAAAATACAATACAAGACCAAAGATTTCTTTGCCCCCGTGCTGGTCTCCCCCCGATCCCTGTGCAGGCTTCATTCCCGCTCTCCCCTCCCCCACGCCTGGTGCTGGGGGCTCAGTGTTCCGACACACCAATGCTAGAAAACATGACTTATGGTAATCAGAATGGCATGGATGGTTGAAACTTGCTGAGGTTTCTGTGTGCGGGTTGTTGCGCGTGTGTGTGTGACTGTTTAGTTGCCTGGTCTCTATGTGGTCCACCAACATTTTGGTTTGACCGTTACTGTGCTTGTCTGTACATAAACCACAATGACATGAGTAGTTTTGGCTCGACTGAGGAAAACAGGGTACAGTGGTGTCCCTTTGACTTAGAAGGCCTGTATGGTTTGCACCTAGACAATGAACAGTGTCAAAATTGCTCTCTGTCCATCAGATCCATCATCCTGCTTGCTCCATGTCTCAAACTCCCAGGTGGGACTGAGAGCAGGCTATATCCTAAGAATGACCTGACTGTCCCCGTCTTAACTATGCTGGAAGTTTTAAGGCAGTTCCACGACTGTCTGAAGGATCCCATTTGCTCTCGATGTCGAGAAGCATGCTTCACTGCAATACCAGACCCTTGAAGGCATTCCTGTGTGTGCTACCACCTAAGGTGAGGGCTCCGTGGCCACCTAGCTACCAGCATATGCAGATTCGAGGTCACCTGGTGTCCCCTGCGTCCTCTTTGCTCGGACAGCCCGGCGCCCAGTCCCTGCCTCCTGACGGAGTGATGTGTCACACACGTCGTCACGTGGCGCTGAATCCGGCACGGAGCGATCAGTGGCTCAGTCGAGGGACACTGTCTGTGCGTATGTGGTCCTACATACAGTGTGTCATGGAATTTAAGGCAGATTCGACCTTCCCGACTTACTCTTCCCACTTCCTTTGCTCCGATGTTCCTGTCCCCCTTCTCAAAGGTAATGGTTGGCATTTAAGGCGGCACCCCACCTCTTGTCTGTGAGTCTCTGTAATGCTGTGGGTCTCTTAGCCAGGCTGTCCATCGCACTACTTGGACGGGATGACCACAACGGGGGTTCCCCTCTTGGGCCTCCACATCAGCACCTGGGCATCGTTGGCGTTAGGGCGACCCAGGGCATTGGGTGGAATGGGCTCCATGCGGGTCAGGACTCGTGGCTGGTCCTGCTGCGGACGGCCGATCAATGCTGCCCGGGACCCAAGACTCTTCGTAGGATCCACAGCAATATCCACCCGCATGCGCCACTTGACCGTCTGCAGAATGATCTTCTCCTTGGTGCCAGTATGGAGGGCCACCAGCCAAGTGGTGAAGCTCTGGTCCCTCTTGATGCGGGTCAGCAGGGGCACGTTGTTGTCGCTGACGGGCACGGCCCACGTCACGCTGGGGTAGAAGTTGTCGTTCATGCTGACGGTGAAGCGGGAGGGCTTGGAGGTGGGCCCCGCCAGCGTCACCGTCTCAGTGGTGTTGCCGTACCAGGGATAGCTGACGCCATCCGAGTCGCTGATTGCTTTGGCCTGGCCCTCACGCAGCTCTGGGAGCTCCCAGCTCGACCTAGAAGGAGCAGAAGGAGGTCAGAAGGAGGTTTCTTACAGACTGAGTAAGTCAATCAAGACGAGACAGATGACAGGCCAGGAAATTGACAAGAAAGGGCAAATCTAGAGCCCCCCCCCCCCCCAATATGTGGTCACCCTTAGCTGTGACAATGACCGTCACCTGCCGGCTGGCCATAGTAACATCATTTGTCGGCCAGAGGCTGTTCTACTTTTGTTTAATGGTCTAACATTACTCTGCTGGCCAGTGTGTCAGTGTGCTATACTCCAGCGTTAGTGTCTCCTCAAGGCATCCTAAGTCTGAGTAAACGCCACGCTTGTGTGCTATTACCACCCCAAAACCCCAGCACCACTCAATGATTTTCTGCTCTTTTCCCAGGTGGTCTCAGTCTTCTCTCTCTCTCTCTCTCTCTCTCTCACACACACACACACACTCTCTCACACATACACACACACACTCTCTCTCTCTCTCTCTCTCTCCCCTATAGCACTCAGGGCTGGGGTTTAAGAACAGTTAGCTCTCACCTATTATCTGCATTTCTATTTTTACCTCTAGGGTCAAGGGAGCACAATCAATTAGCGTGTGTCTGCTTGGAAGCCGGAAGAGAAACTTACGCTCTGACAAATGCCCGCGCACAAACGTTATTTATTTATTTTCTTTTTCCAAGCTTGTATACTCCAGGAACACAGTGACTAAAAAATAAACCTAGAGGATATTCTTTTAAGTAGGGTGTATGGCCTCTCAGGCGAGCCCACGTCACTCATTCACACACTTCTCTGTGGATAATCTCAATTCTTGCAACTTGTAACTGGTGATGGCAGGAGAGGAAAACTAAGTGTGTAGTGGGAGGTAGGAAGAGGGGAGCAGGGAAGGCGTGTGATTGATGGTGATGATGATGATGAGAGAGAGAGAGAGAGAGAGAGAGAGAGAGAGAGACGCTCTGAAGAATAACTCACATGCCGATGTCGCTGTAGGTGTTGTAAAACTCCATCTGCGTGCAAGCCTGAATCCAACCTACTACCCACGTCTCATCGCGAGGGATAGGGGGCATCACCACGCGGGCTGAAGCCTTGAAATATGGTGTTTTGTAGCGCAGCACAATGGGCGAGTTCTCCTCAATCACTGTCGGGCACTGATCGATGGTTGCCGAGACGTCGTAGACCACGATGTTTTCGCGTTTAATACGGGACTTACAAGCGATGCTCTGGATGCAGCCCATGGCGGTGGCTAGAGTCACTATAAGCAGCCACGGGGAGAGCACCTGAGATGGGGCCGATTGGCGCATTAATCGCGATCAGGTCTCATACAGCTTAATTCCTCAATAGTATTTACCAACAAATCATTTCAACAAACTATGAAAATATAAGCAGCATCATAAATACAAGAATAAATAATAATAATAGTCACAAATAAATAAATAAGTGATCCGGTGCGATTTAAAACAAAATTTTAAAGACTTAAATGATGATTAGCGGGTAAGAAAAGGCACAGCGATGCCTGTTCTCAGGTGTCCCCCGATATGTCCGTGACAGATCACGGCGCTGCCTCCGATGCTTTTCTCCCGCAGCTGAAATGCGGGATTCCCCGGGCTGGAGTCCCTTCCTCTTGCGGTCCAGGCGTCCGCCTGCAGGTCTACGGCCTTTGATCCTAGCCTTTCTCCCCCGTGCTGTCATGTCACAAACGAAGGGGAAGCAGGAGCGTCGGAGGCGGCGTGTCGCTGTCTTTACAGGGGTGGCGGTCTTGTGTTTTGCTGCGGCGCCATCGGTTGAGGTTGGCTTGGGTTGAGCGATGATAAATCATACGCTGCTTCATACCTGCCGCCTCGGCAGCGTTACTGAACACTGTTCATAAGGTTAGAGACGATTTAACGACAGGAATGAATCGCTCGGCAAAGACAATCCAGCTATGCTCCTCTGCGTTTTTCACATTTCCTCGATACTGTTCGTTTTCTTAAATCCGCTCTGGGAGAATTGAAACGATGCCTCTTGGAGGAAAAGGTAACCAATTACCAGCAAACAAGCGTCATTCCAGATATTTTTATTATTATTATTTTCATTCGCTGTAAATGATAATGGATAAACATTTCCGTGGTGTGACTGTCGTCGTGCCATCGGCTGAATCCTTAACGAACATCCTGTGTGTCATTTTCTCTCTGGTCTTCTTTTCCGACCCCCTGCCGCTGTTCAGTCTCGCGTTGGTGCTGATGATGCTGAATGAACGGCAGAGCGAAAGGGAAATTAAAACGCGTAGGCGTGCAAACCGGTGAGGGCTGTTTGTCCTCAGCGACGATCCTTACGTCTTTGTTTTTTTTTTTTTCTTGGAGCTGTCAGTGAGGAATTTATTGCCTTTCAGAAATGCAAAGACGTATCCATTTTGTTAAGCTCTTTATTAACGCAATACAGATCATCCATACCAAAAGTGGATGAAACAGGGTGCTCAGGTGTCCACTCCATGTCTTAGGTAGTTAGCATTTGTAGTTTGTAATTATATCTTTGTGGAGATTCTCAAACAAAATATGAGACTTTCGGCATTTTTAGTTTTTGACTGCATTCACAGATCTTTGTGGGGACCGTCAATTAGCAGGTTTTTATTACATTGTGGGGAACATTTGGTCCCATCCATCCACACATCTTCCCACTGTGTATCCCATCCATGGTCAGGGAGGACCTGAATCAGCACAGGACGGCTGGCAAACACACCATGGGTCATTTTTAGAGGCCACATGTCTTTGGATTCCTGGAGAAAACCTGCCCTGCACAATAAAGGGAGACCATGCAGACTCCGTGGATGGGATGGAGCGGGATTAGGGGTGTACAGGATGGGGCGGGATTAGGGGTGTACAGGATGGGGCGGGATTAGGGGTGTACAGGATGGAGCGGGATTAGGGGTGTACAGGATGGGGCGGGATTAGGGGTGTACTCCCAGCCCTGAAAGAGTGCGGGGTCATTGCTACCCACTGAGCCACCTGTGACTGTACATTGGGTCTGTATGTAATTCAGTTACTCTCCTGTTAGGGGTTCAAGTAACTTAAAAAAGAAGAAAGGCTGTACAACCACTTTTCAGTGAGAAAACTTTATGTGCTAAAAGTAAGATAAGATCTGAGATTTGATAGCATCTGAAATTTGTTCAGGTTACATGCATAATGCCAGAGAATTCTGGATGTGGGAAGATGAGCATTATACTCCGTTAACTTGCCAGTTCCCTCACCATGTAGCAGAGCTGGACTGGGATTAAAAATCACCCCTGGACTTCTGCCCGGACGAGCCTACCACATGCATACCCATGATGAATTTGGCCAGTAGGGGAGGGTCCCCACGAGAAATTTTGTAGGCCCACAAATCCGTTGGCCCACCGGGTTAATGCCAGATGGCCAGGCCTGTTTGCTGTGATGAGCTGGCTTCCTGTCCTGGATTATTCCCTGCCTTGTGCCTGTTGTTTCCGGGACAGGCCCTGGACCCCTACACCAGATATAGGACAAACAGGTATGGAAAATGAATGAATAAATATTATGTTTATAAATATATTATCTGATGTTTTGACAGACAGTTGTGGGCTGACAGGGGTGTTGGCCGGGTCATTGATGCGGCATTTTTAGTAGACTCAGTATAACTGGTCCCCTTTAAGATTGCCTGTAAATAAATAGTATTTGTTCAGTGCAAACAGAAATGGTTACTCGCAAGTGCCCTGGAGTGCATCATTCTATAATGGCAATGCAAAACGTCATGATGGAAACAATAACCAACACTAAACTAGAAATAAATTAACAATAAATAGCACAAAATTCACACCAAACAACAAATGATTCGCATGTCATAAAGTTTACAGTTGGTCAGAAGGGCAACGTTAACATAAAATATAATAATTTTAAATGCTGCGGAATTTGAAAATGTTGTAGTGACATTTACAGGGCGGACACTGCCATCTTAAACTGGACTGTCATTAACACAGTCTATGCAGAGCTTGCTTTGAATTCCCCAATCTGATTGGCGGTGTCGCGCGTGTGTCGGCTCTATTCTGATTGGCCGACTGTATCTAGATGTCCACACCTCCTCTCTCCTCATTGGCCATACTGAAAAACGGATGTAGCGTCTCGGTTTCCTTGCTGGATTCGCGGTGACCGGCTGTTCATCTTTTAGGTGTCGGCGAAACCTTGTTGTACCTGCTGTATTTACATCTCCCCCCCATTATCGGTTTATGCTTTTTCGACTGTTTGGTACGCTGCTCCGCGTTTCCATGAAGCCGCAGGTTGTGTTCGTGCTTGGTGGACCCGGAGCTGGAAAAGGCACACAGTGCACCAAAATTGTAGAGGTATGGACTCGGGTAATGGCTTGGAGGGTCGATCTACTAAAAGCTGTTAATTTCAGAGAGAAGCAAGGGCGCATAAGTAGTATGTGTATCCGGAGGCGACCGAATCACTATTACCTGCATGTGAGACGTTTTATTAATAAACATTGTCCGCAGTCTGTATTATGATACGCATTCGAGTTATGAATAAAGGAGCTCATGATTCTATTTTTATGAAGGTGGTTACCGTGGGACTTGCATTACTTTTACTACGACTTGTCATAAGGAGCGATTGGTTTCAAGGTTATTGATTGTTTCTCAGACGTTTTGATGTCTCAGATGGGGACTGAGGTATGCTGTATATGGGTAAATTATCTGGGAAGGTTTAGAAACTATACAAATAACTAGAATCAGAATTCGCTTATTGGCCAGGTATACCTGCATATACTAGGAATTTGTGTTGCTGGTATTGGTGCGCACGTTCACAAACAACATAGAACTTAAAGTAAGAAAATAATAATAAAAATATACATAAAATAAAGTAGGTTTAAAGGTATGAGCAGTCGTGCAAATACATACAGGATACACTAAATAAATCGGTGTTTACGAACTGTGTGATGTTAACAAGTCCAACTGGACGTGCAAGTTTAAATAGAGCATAGAATCTGGTTCCCAAATAAATACAAATAGCTGTTGTTATACAGTGGGCTATTGTCCTCATCCGCAGGGTTTTGATTCTCTTTTCTAAAATCCTGGTATAGACTTTTTTACTTGCCTTATCAGCTCCACGCCCCATCCGATCTCTCGGCATTTTTTATGTAATCTTGTGTTCTGTTATTTCTGTTAATCTCCTTCCGTTTTCTCACGCGAACTGCCTTACAGCTGTACAGCGCTCCTTCTAAGCCTCAGATGGCTGTTTATCTGTCACTTAGACTTACGGCTACACTCACCTGTCGGCTGGGGACCTCCTGCGGGCCGAGCGATGTCGGGAGGGCTCTGCGGATGGACAACTGATCGACAGCTATATCAAGGAAGGCAAGATCGTTCCTGTTGAGATCACCATCAATTTGCTAAGGAAGGTACACAGACCGTCATTTGTTATTGGTATTAATGTGTGTCACAATGTAACCTATTGGCCTTTGGTTGCTAAAATGAATTGAGGTAAGAAGATAATGCATTTTACAATATTACAATAGGGATTTTTTTTTTTTAAAAATCACCCAGAGATTTAAAGGAAAAAATGTTTTTAAATGACAATAGAACTTATTGCAACAGTTATTTCAAGGTTGCTTATTTCATTCAGTTTGATGTCAAAAATAGAGTCTTGTAACTATTTCTTGTAACTCAATGGACGAGCCACCTTTGATATAATTATTACTGAATGTTTGTTTGTCCTCTGGCTGACCTGGGACATTTCCCTGTATCTGCTCCGCCACGAAGGCCATGGAGGAGACGATGCAAGCTGATGAGGGAAAGTGTCGATTCCTGATTGACGGCTTTCCCCGGAATCAGGACAACCTGCAGGGCTGGGCTGCCGTCATGGATGGCAAGGCAGATGTCAGATTTGTCCTCTTCTTTAACTGCAGCAACCAGGTGAATGAGTGAGGGAGTGAATGAGTGAGTCAGTAAATCAGTCATTCAGTCCCTGGCCAAGAACAGGGTGTGGTAATCTGATCTATTTGGTCTATTTATGCCTAAATTTCATTCAGGATTAATAAAGTATCTATGTATCTGATGTGGGACTATCCCGATTTCATTTTCTGTTTCGATTGGTGCTGCCTTAGCATTACTTTTTATTTTCATATATATAGGAAAGTGTGGTCTTGCACAACAACAAACTGAATTCAGCACGGACCGTAAAGAAAATGGACCATCGGACAACAGCCATTAAGTGGGAGGGCACTTTGTGTTTGCAGGTGTGCGTTGAGAGGTGTTTGGAGAGGGGGAAGAGCAGTGGACGGACCGATGACAACAGAGAGAGCCTAGAGAAGCGGTAAGAGCAGCTGCAGGCCTACTGACCGTGGACAGTAAGACCAGCTGCGGGCCTGCTGTCTTGTGGACGGTAAGAGCAGCTGCGGGCCTGCTGTCTTGTGGACGGTAAGAGCAGCTGCGGGCCTGCTGTCTTGTGGGCGGTAAGACCAGCTGCGG